AGGTGTTCGACCAATTAACGCATGTTGCCTTGTCCAACCAACGATGACGTTCACACAAGAAGAAGTCTCCAGAGACTGAATATCCTGGGGTTAGGGGTGAGCACGGTTCGGTTCAAACCGAAAAAACCGACCGAACCGACCCGAACCGACCCGAAAAAAAACGGTTTTATGAGTAAGGCGGTTCGGGTCGGGTTGACAATTTTTCAAACCAACCCGAACCGAACCAACCGAATATATTTGTGCCTTTGATTTGTGGGTTTATTACTGTGTTCGATCACCATGAATAGCAGTTGTAGGGAATTGATTCATACATAACCAATGTTCTAATGAGTCAGCTCCTTTTTTTTCTCCACAAAGACCAAACTCAAAGCTTGCTACACAAAGACAAAGCAAGTCCGTTACTAAAAAATTACAACGTTAGAGTCTAGTATTTAATCCAAAAGGACAAGTTACTTCACTTAAAAACAGTATACATACATGAGCAAGAATAATAAATTAAAGTGAAGTTTAAAAACAAATACATGTTGGCATAGGGTAATAATAATATATAAAAAATAAATTGAAGTGAAGTTATACTTGATGAAGTTAGAACCGAACAAACCGAACCGAACCGCACCGAACCGATTTGTAATGGTTCGGTTCGGTTTTGAATTGTAGGTGGTTCGGTTCGGTTGTTCAAATTTTGGTAAAAACCGACCCGAACCGAACCGTGCTCACCCCTACCTGGGGTCACTATCAATGTGATCGACAGAGGGAAAGCCTCGGGTCCTAGTCCCGATGATTCTGAGACAAGTTGTTCACCGACTGTCAGAGAAATCGCTAACGAGTTTGAAAGAATTTATCAACATACCCAGACTCAAACAGGAACCATTCCTCCTGTCAACTATCGGAGGTTAGCTAGAGGAACCAATTCCGAGGATGAACACTCAGCCATTACGGAGTCTCAATCATCAAGTTCCTTTGTTGAACATGAGAGCTCCGCTTATATGACTGGAAACCATGAAGATCTCGTGAAGAGACTTGATGAGCAGGAGGCCATGATTAAATCTCAGCAAGAGGCCATCAAAGAACTCTTGGCCCTGATGAATCAAATCATCACAGACAAGGCCAAATCTCAGAAGACAGATTCGCCACCTAGGTAAGAATCCTCCCGGAGAGAAAAAACATCTTCATCCTGACCTCACACAAGCAAAGGGAAGGGAAAAATGGTTGATGACACGGTTTCTGACCAAGAAGCTAACAACCTGGAATCTTCCTCTGAGGAAGGAAGAGAGACTGAGAACGAGCAAAATCTCTAATCTACCAAAATGGAAGAATTAGAAGCTCGCCTCACTGCCATTGCCAACAGAAGCGAGCTCCAAGACGAGGGAGTTGTCAGACCCTATCCTGCCGAATGGGATGCAGCCCCTTATCCTCCAAAGTTTGAAGTCCCCATGCTACAAACTTTTGACGGCACGGGATCACCGAATCAACATATCTATCATTTTAAGTTACAGACTGAGAATGTGATATCAAACGATGCCATACTGGCTCGATTGTTCATTGGCATCCTCAAGGGAGTTGCCTTTGAATGGTTTAGGAAA